ATGGCTACTTTTAAATCTGTTATAGAATGTCCAGAAAGACTGAAGTGTTCTCCTACTGGCTTTTGTATGTTACCATTCCTGATGTCCGATTTGTGTCCATTTATTCTTTTACATAAAGACTGTCCGGTTTGGCCAATGTACATGGCAGAGGGGCATTGCTGGCACATGATGGCATATATAACATCAGTAGATGTGCAGGTGAATGAGTCCCTGATGGTGTGGCTGATGTGGTTGGGTCCTCTGATGGTGTCGCTAGAGTAGATATGGGGACATATTGTGCCCGAGTGGGTCTCCACTGAGCTGGGGAGGTGGGGACAGGACACCTGTCTGTTCAGGTGCCTCTGGCTCAGGAGTGGGAGCTGCTGCTGCTGTACTGAACCAAGTGTTCAGACTCCTGCGTGCTTGGCTTAAAGAGACAGTGTGCTGACACAAGCATACACAATCTCACACACACACTCCCCCCAACACACACCTTCAGTCTCCCACACACTCTCCCCAACACACACACAATCAAGTAATAGTATCCTTCCAGAATGTAAATTTAGCTTGTACTCACCTTAGCAGTGACAGTTTTGTTTTTTTTTAAAAAAGCTAAACACTGTGCAGATGAAGGTCGCTTATTTTCAAATTATATTTTAATTATATCTGTAAAATAACAAAATTCATATGAAAATAAATGCAGTTTCAAGTCTGATACTAATAGTAATGATGAATTTAAATATTAATGAGTCACATATATGACTGTGATCAGTAAACAGAAATGCCAGAATAATTAAACAAATAAATTCACATTCTAAATAAAAGGGGAGGGGAACTTAATCGTGCACGTTAATATTAAGTAGATAAGTTTTTAGTGGAGTGAAAAAACAATTGACTAAAACAGAGTAGATAACGGCAGTAACACAGAGAGTGTCAGAGAAAGTAAGCAAATATTAGGCAAATTTTATTTATTTTTCTTTATCTCTACTAAAGATGGCGTACAAAATATCAAACTTGTGTTTCTGATATCTGTGCTAAGGCTCCAAAATGGATACCTCAATGCGTGAGTTTGGAAATATCTTGTATTATCTCCTTATTGTTCTAAATTTACATATAAACTTAAAATATGGCTCTAATTAGTGTTTTTTCTTTCTTTATATAGGAATTAGATACAGTGTTCCCATCAGTTAATTTCTAACTTATCTGCAAAACAAAACAAACAAAACAAAACAAAAAAACCACACCTAGAGTTTTCAGGTGCCTAAGTAACCTCTGAAATCACAGTTAAAATCTGAAATGGCACCCCTGTCCTGAAGTCCTGACTATGTGAGAATCTTAGCTTTCTGTTAGAAAAAAAAAAAGTTTCTAGCCCTCATGATTGCCGAGCAAAGTTTGAAAACATGAACTTTAACCACTCAAATAGCTGAAGGCAAATATATTCTTTTAAAAGCCTCATTATGTTTAAATCAATCTCATGATTTTGGGGACCTGACTAATGATTTTTGAATATCAGTGATTGGCAATAAATAACTGCTTAAAAACCAACTTTCACTACCGCATGTCAGAGAGAGATTGGATAAAAGACTACATTTCCCAGAAGCCTCTCTGTAGGACTTGGTTATGTCACTGAGCAGAGACTTTGGAGCCTGCTTATCGGAAGACGGTGCGGGGTGAGTGCTCCTTGGTGCTGCTAGAACTTTAGGGAAATGACCTCAAGAGAGTGACTCACTGACTTTTAATTCTTTCCAGATTCTTTTGGGTGGGTGGGTGAGTGTGCCTGTTATGTTACATGCTGAATGCTGCCCCCAGGAGGAGAGGAGTTTGCCTTTCCCAGAGAGATGGCCCCGAACCAGCAAGTTCGCGCTGTCAGCCTGTGCAGCGGCTGTTGCAGAACTAGGTACTAGCCACTATGATTTTATTAGAGGGAAGGGAGTCGTGATTGACTGGGATGGGGGGGTAGGGAAAATGCTCAGCCCCATTCCCTCAGCTCTCTGTTCACTGCTGCCTCAACATTCAACAACTTCTGGGCGCAGGGAACTTGTTACACTGGCCTCTCCTCTTTATACTTTTCTGTGTAGTGCAGCTTGAAAAATATATTGCATCACATGCAGGGGTGAAAGTAACTTAAAGGCTTTACCAGTATGCTGGAGTCCTGACCATGGGCGTGGCCTCAACTGGAAGAGGCGTGGCCTCTAAATCAAGATTTAAAGGCCCCGGGGCTCCAGCTGGGAGCCCTGGGGCCTTTAAATCACTCCTGGAGCCACCAGCTGCAAAGGCAGCTGGGAGCCCCTGAGGCTCGGGGTGATTTAAAGGGCCCGGGGCTCTGGCCACCGCTACAGCAGTGGAGCTCCAGGTCCTTTAAATTGCCGATGGAGCCCTGCCGCCGCTACCCCGGGGCTCCGGCAACAGGGCTTAGGTGGCACTTTAAAGGGCTGGGGCTCCCCGCAGCGGCTGGAGCCCCTGGCCCTTTAAATCATTGCTGGAGCCCTGCCGGCGCTACACCAGGGCTCCGGCAGCTGGACTTGGGCGGTGATTTAAAGGGCCCGGGACTCCGGCTGCTGCGGGGAGCCCCTGGTCCTTTAAATCATTACCGGAGCCCTGACGCCGCTACCTCCAGGGCTCCGGCGGCCGGGCTCAGGTGGCGCTTTAAAGGGCCCAGGGCTCCTCACAGCAGCAGGCGCCCTGGGCCCTTTAAAGCACCACCTGAGCCTCACTGCCGGAGCCCCGGGGTAGCGGCGGCAGGGCTCCGGCGGTGATTTAAAGGTCCCGGGGCTCCCCGCAGTGGTTGGAGCACTGGGCCCTTTAAATCACCGCCGGAGCCCTGCCGCCACTACCCCGGGGTTCGGGAGGCGATTTAAAGGGCCGGGGCTCTGGCCGCTGTAGGGAGTCCCGGACCCTTTAACTCACCAGCCTGGGGAAGCTGGTCTGGACAGTACTGGCTTACTTTCACCTCTGATCGCATGGTTTCTCCGGGTCTGCTGCTTTGCAAACTTGGTGTTGCTCCGCGGTAGGTCTTTCAGATCTAGGGCTTGTCTACACTGACAATTTAGAGCGCTGCAACTTTCTCGCTTGGAGGTGTGAAAAAACACCCCCCTGAGTGCAGCAAGTTTCAGCACTGTAAAGTGCCAGTGTAGACAGTGCGCCAGCGCTGGGAGCCACGCCCCTCATGGAGGTGGGTTTTTTTTATAGTGCTGGGACAGCAGCGCTTTAGCATTGCCAGTGTAGACTAGCCCTAAATCTTTGCCGTTGAGAACAGTGGGATGCAATAGTGAACCAAGACAAGTTCTGAGTGATTTAAATGTGCAATGTACTGTTTTTTCTGATAGAACACCAAAAAGGCAGAACAATCAGTTGAAGTTGACTGTGGGAGTAATTTGCCTTCTACAGTTAGTTTAGAGTAGCGCTCCCCCTTCTCTCCAAAAAGAGATCTAATCTAGTTGGGAAGCTCATGTTTCTAATTACAGCAGAGCTGTCTTTAGAGACGTGTCGGTGCAACAGAGAGAGAGCAGATATTTAAGGAAGAGGGAATGCCTATACAATGCTGCACTGTGATAAATAATTTGTTATTTTTTAATATCTATGTAGGGTAAACTATTAATTTGTACATGCAAACTGGGTGCAATGTCCTAGTGATTTAAGGGTTCTCTTTTGTTTAAAGATATCCAATACAAGAAATAATAAATTATAATATGGGATTCTATTGTGACTTTACCGGCATCCCTAAGTATTATTATTGGTGTTGTTTGTTATTTGTATTACTGTAGTGCCTAGGAGCCCTTGTCATGGGCCAGAACCCCATTGTGCTAGGCTCTGTACAAACACAGAACCAAGAGATAGATTGTAATGTCTGTGTAGTACAGATTAAGTATAAAACAAGAGACAACCGATGGATACAGACAGCCTGGGAAATACAAGGCAGTGTTGGTTAGCACAAGAGGCGGTGGTCTCAGCACACCAGCAGCCTAGCTGTTGTCAAGTTTTTTTTTTTATGTAAGGGCAGTGTGTAACTGCACTGCCCCAGAAGCAGCACAGGGAAGGGATTAAGGGACACTCTCTTCCCTGGTTCTGCTTTGTTCCAAGGGGAAAAGTAATCTTCTATTAATCTACGCCAGGGGTCGGCAACCTCTGGCACGCAGCTCGCCAGGGTAAGCACCCTGGCGGGCCGGGCCAATTTGTTTACTTGCCGCGTCCGCAGGTTCGGCCGATTGCGGCTCCCACTGGCCGCGGTTCGCTGCTCCAGGCCAATGGGGGCTGCGGGAAGCGGCATGGGCTGAGGGATGTGCTGGCCGCAGCTTCTCGCAGCCCCCATTGGCCTGGAGCGGCGAACTGCGGCCAGTGGGAGCCGCGATCGGCCGAACCTGCGGATGCGGCAGGTAAACAAACCGGCCCGGCCCGCCAGGGTGCTTACCCTGGCGAGCCGCGTGCCAGCGGTTGCCGACCCCTGATCCACCCCAATAGAAGATTGCTTCCCCCTCTGCTCAAAACAGCTCCCCCACATTGTGGGATGGAGCAGTCAAACATCTGCCCATTTCATGCTCCCCTGCATGAGGATGGGGAGATTACTGGCTCTGCAGAGTGTGCTTTCCCTCTGGAAATGCAGAGTGGCCACTTGAGAATGAGGGGGTGCCTGACCTGCCCAACTGGATTGTGCACACCAAAGTCTTGGTCACAGAGTATGTAAAAGGGTGGAAGTAATTGACAAGGATTTAACGTGCTCCAGCATCTTCCAGAAACTCCAAATGCTTCTTCAAAGAAACTTCAAAAGCGGGGCAGGTGGTAAGCATTGGATTTGGAAGGAAAAGAACTTGGGATAGAATGAAAGGCCATTGATGTATTTTTGCTATCTTGTCAAAAGGCACCATGAAAAATGAGCCTCCTGCCTCAGTCAGGATGAGCACCTGCTAACAGCGCCTGCGGCAAATCAAATGCTGCCAGCCTGCGTTTCGCAACATTGTGTTCTGCCGGATGTGGCCTTTGTTCAGCTGTGTTCCCTGTTGTTTTCTGCTAGTGACCTTTCCCCTGGATCTCACGAAAACGCGACTGCAGATCCAAGGTGAAGCTGCTGTTTGTCGGTATGGAGCTGCTGCCGGAAGAGCTGTACCCTACCGTGGCATGCTACGTACTGCAGCAGGGATTGTTCAAGAGGAAGGCTTACGAAAACTCTGGCAAGGAGCAACACCTGCCGTCTACAGACACATAGGTGATTATCCTGTCCCATAGCAATGAGTCAGAATGCTGTATGCCAGCGGTTTTCAAACTTTTTTTCTGGTGACCCAGTTGAAGAAAATTGTTGATGCCCATGACCCAATGGAGCTGGGGATGAGGGGTTTGGGGTGTGGGAGGGGCTAGGGCAGAGGGTTGGGGTGCGGGGCTGAGGACTGCAGGGTGAGGGGTTGGGGTGCAGGAGGGGGTCATGGCACTGGGCTGGGGGTGCAGGCTCTGGGGTGGAGCTGGGGATGAGGGGTTTGAGGTGCAGCAGGGGGCTCTGGGTTTGGGGGGGACTCAGGGCTGGGGCAGGGCATTGGGGTGCAGGGTTAGGCCATGGGCTTACCTCGGGCAGCTCCTGGTCAGTGGCGCAGCAGGGGTGCTAAGGCAGGCTTCCTGCCTGTCCTGGCACTGCGGACCACGCTGCCCCCTGGAAGCGGCCAGCAGCAGGTCCAGTTCCTAGGCGGAGGTGCACAAGCGGCTCCACGCAGCTCTCACCCACAGGCACGGCTCCCCCAGCTCCCACTGGCCAGTTCACGGCCAATGGGAGTGCGGAGCTGGTGTTCAGGGCGGGGGCAGTGTGCAGAGCCCCGTGGCCCCCCTGCCTAGGAGCCAGACGTGCTGCTGGCTGCTTCCAGGGCACAGCGTGGCGTCGGAACAGGTAGAAACTAACCTGCCTAGCCGGGCAGCACCGCTGACAGGACTTTTAATGGTCCGGTTGGCGGTGCTGACCAGAGCCGCCGCAACCCAGTGCCTTACATTCCGCAACCCAGTCCTGGGTTGCGACCCGCAGTTTGAAAACCACTGCTGTGTGCTATGTCCCACAGCTATGCTGTCTTGTGTCATAATCCTGCCATGTCTCTTTGTAACTCTTCTGGCAAGTGCCAATGGCAGCACACGGGGTCATTCAATGTGCCTAGAGGTCCTCTTAAACTATGGCTTGAGCCATCACCCAGAGCTGTATTCTGACTTCTGGTTCTGGGAAGTTAAAGTAAAACCGCCCCAGTTACCTTTGCAGGTCGTTGTTCCCCACTCACAGGCACTCAGCATCCTTGGGATCCTGGAACCACTGGTTCCTTTTATTTGGGGGGGAAAAGAAAAAAGTCCTAAAGCATGATCACTGCACATATATTTACATGCAATACGACAACCCAAACCCAGTTAGTGTGTCAGTTGTTCAGTCAACCCTGCAGACCCAAACAGTAACTGGCCACCTTAATCGCACAACAGTTCCCACCCACCTGAAACCTCACTCCCAGCTCTAATTAGGGCTTGTCTACACTGGCACTTTACAGCGCTGCAACTTTCTTGATCAGGGGTGTGAAAAATCACTGCCCTGAGCGCTGCAAGTTTACAGCGCTGAAAGTGCCAGTGTAGACAGTGCACCAGCACTGGGAGCCGCGCTTCCACTGCTGGTAGCTGTTCCCGTCGTGGAGGTGGGTTTTTTATAGCGCTGGAAGAGCTCTCTCCCAGTGGTTCTGCCGCGACTACACAAGCCACGTTAAAGCACTGCCACGACAGTGCTTTAATGTTGCTAGTGAAGTCGTGCCCTGAATGAGTGCCAAGAATGCCACTTACACAACCCCAGAAGATGGGACATTCCCCCGCCTGCATATCTCCACCCTCGCCAGAATGACTGGCCTGCATCGTGCATGTTAGGTCACGTAGGCAGGGGTGGGGCAGTGTGCTGTTCAAAATGGCAGCCCCTAGCCATGATACCAGACAAAACCACATCCTGTGTTGCCTCAGTACAGGGTAGGGGACAAACAATTTAAAAACAGGGCTGTCTGACCTAAAACCGGATGAATGGCCTGCCTAACATGACTGCTCTGGTTGGGTCTTGCCATGAAGTCAGTTCTGCATCCCCACCGCAGCTTGTCCAATTGGGCCTCACTGTGAAGTCAGTTCTGCAGACCTGTCACAGATGGTCTGGTCAGGTGTTGCTGTGAAGTCAGTTCTGGTACCCCTGCCACAGCTGGTCTAGTCAGGCCTTACAGTGTGGCTTCATCGACGTTGCTTCTGCCATCAGTTCAGTCCTACAGAATCACTCTGCGCAGGGTTTGGAATCTCCAGGTAGGGAATGGAGAGGAACACTAGACCCTAGTTGTGCTCACTGACATAAAGCTCCTGGTCTTTAGAGTGGAGTTCTCCCAACCCTACCTTGCTGAACTTGAATTGCATTCCCTAACCAGATTGTACTACGTGTAATGCCTTACAATGTGTTATCATTCATGCAATCAAAATATAAGCTAGTTCCAATACAGTACGTAGAACTATGAGTAAACAACATTATAATTAAGACTAAGATTTAGTCACGGGTATTTTTAGTAAGAGTCAAGGACAGATCACGGGCAATAAACAAAAATTCACAGCCCATGACTTGTACTATAAATACCTCTGACTAAATCTTAGGAGCGCCTGGGGCACCACTGCTGCTCTGGGGCGCTGCTGCTGCTCCGGAAGGGAGGCAGCTCAGTGAGCCACTGCTGCTCCTCTGGTGGTCCCTGGGGCCAGCTGCCTGAGGCCGCCTGAGCAGCAGCCGGTGCGGTTGGCCCCAGGGCTGCCTGAGCAGTAGCTGCCTGGGTGGCCCTGGGGTCAGCCGTACCAGCTGCTGCAGGAGTCATGGAGGTCCCGGAAAGTCACGGAATCCGGGATCTCCGTGACACTCACAGCCTTAATTATAGCCTCTAGAGGGACCCAAGTGCTCCATCTCCAAGCCTTTTCGCTGTTACTTACATCCTTGCCTGAGTTGGAATGTGCAGTCAAATCATACAATCAAACATTTTCAGTTAAACCCCCTATTTTTCCATTGAGGTCCAGGACTCAAAGGGCTTGTCTACATGGAGACATCCAAGAAAATTAATCCAAATTAACTAAAGATTGGAATTTGAAGTGGATAGTTATACAGCAACATTCATCAGTAGGTCTCAAAGTGCTTTACAAAGGAGGTCAATATCATTACCCTCAATTTACAGAAGGGAAGTGACTTTTCCAAGGTCACCCAGCAGGTCCATGGCAGGGCCAGGACTTGAAACCATGAAATCTGAACCGCAGTCTAGTGCCCCACATGCCCTTCTCGATAGCAGGAAGAGGTTCTCAGAGATAGCTGGTTTGTATTTTTTTTTAATTGCAAATACACTGACAGCAGCAAATCTTAAAGGGATTGCACCTGTGGGAGGGAACGCACATAGAGGATTAATTAATGGCTAGTTTGCTGGAAATGAAACAAATCTCACAGATTGGTGGCGAGATGGCCAGCGAAGTTAAGTGTCTTAAAGTGCTGAGATGCCTCGTATCTGTGACAAGAAATACCACTTAGCAAAAGAGATTCCGTTACACTAACAAGTTCATAGCTAGGGCAAATATTCCATTCAGCCTCTTCTTCCTCTCCTTTTGGATTATTTGTTATTACAGTAGCAACCAAATGCCTCAGTCAGGACCAACGGTCCCATTGTGGTAGATGTTTTACAATTAATCTCTTGGTTTTCTATTATAGTACAAACAAAAGAGAGGGCTGCTCTAAAAATTCTTTTGTGGTTTTGTTTTCTGTAGTATACTCCGGAGTGCGGATGGTTACATATGAGCACATTCGTGACTCTGTGCTTGGTAGAGCTGAAGATGAGAGCTTTCCTCTTTGGTAATTCTGTATATATGCGCTACTGCTTACTGTTGGGGTTGTTGTTGTTACAGCAGTTCTATAGGCCCTGGAAAATTGTCACTCGCAGCTTGTCTACACAAGAAAGCTGCACTGGTTTAACTAAGGTGTGAATTTAAACTGATTTAATTAATCCAGTGCAAACATCTGTGAGGAACTCTTATTTCAGTTGAAAAGCAGCTTTCCTTGGTTTAAGTTGACTGGGAACAGGTTTGAGCAAAACTGAAATAGAAGTGTCCACACAGGGGTTTCCACTGGTTTGACCAAATTAGTTTAAAAACCTGTGCCACTTTTCTGTGTAGACAAGTGCCTGGAGTGAAATTCATTCATATGCAGTTGGCCAACACAAGGCCTATGCAACGTGTAAGTTACTATTCGATCTCTACTTTGAAGATTTAAGTGGTACATAGTCCTTGCATTGGTTGTTTGCACAGAGTGAATTTCACCCTAAATCACTAACTTGCAAGTCAGTAATTTGCAATGAATCTCTCTATTATTAAAGAGAGTTGGCAATTTTTCAAAGAGACATTATTGAGGGCATGAGAGCAAACTATCCCACTGCATAGGAAAGATAGGAAGTATGGCAAGAGACAGCCCTGGCTTAACCAAGAGATCTTCAAGGATCTGAAACTCAAAAAAGAGTCCCACAAAAAGTGGAAACTAGGTCAAATTACAGAGGATGAATAGAAACAAACAACACAAGCATGTAGAGACAAAATAAGAAAGGCCAAGGCACAAAATGAGATTAAACTAGCTAGAGACATAAAGAATAACAACATTCTACACATGCATTATAAGGAAGAGGAAGACCAAGGACAGGGTAGGCCTGTTATTCAATGGTGGGGAAGCGAGGGGGAACAATAACAGAAAATGTGGAAATGGCAGAAGTGCTAAATGACCCCCAGATCCTCTTCTTCAGTACTACTGCATAGCCAGTTATTCCCCATTTTTTAGTTGTGGTTTTTGATTTTTCCTTCCTAAGTAAAGTACTTTGAACTTGTCTTTATTGAATTTCATGTGGTTTAATTCAGACTAGTTCTCCTATTTGAAAATGACCTTGACAATTTTAAACCGGTCCTCCAAAGTGCTTGCAATCCCTCCCACCTTGGTGTCATCGGCAAATTTTATAAGCATACTCTCTACTCGATTATCCAAGTCATTAATGAACATATTGAATAGTACCAGACTCAGGATAGACCCTGCAAGAACCCACTTGGTGTGTCCTCCCAAATTAAAGGCAAACCTTTGGTACTATATTGGTACTAATAACTACTCTTCAAGTACTATCTTCCGAACAGTTGTGCACCTACCTTATAGTAATTTCATCTAGACCAGTGCTTCTCAAAGTCGGGCCGCCTCTTGTTCAGGGAAAGCCCCTGGCGGTCCGGGCCAGTTTGTTTACCTGCCGTGTCCGCAGGTTTGGCCAAACGCAGCTCCCACTGACTGCGGTTCGCCGTCCCAGGCCAATGGGGCCTGCGGGAAGGGCGGCCAGTACATCCCTCGGCCCACGCCGCTTCCCTCAGCCCTCATTGGCCTGGGACGACGAATCGCAGTCAGTGGGAGCTGCGATCGGCCGAACCTGCGGACACGGCAGGTAAACAAATCGGCCCGGACCGCCAGGGGCTTTCCCTGAACAAGTGGCAAATCCACACTGACTATTCCTTATAAACCTATTATGTTCCAGGTACTTAAAAATTGATTGTTTAATAATTTGCTCTAGTATCTTGGCAGGTATTGAAGTTAGGCTGACTGGTTTGTAATTCCCCTCAGTACTCCTTGTTCCCCTTTTTAAAGATTGGTACTATGTTTGCCCTTTTCCAGTCTTCTGGGACCTCTCATGTCCTCCAGGAGTTCTCAAAGAGAATTGCTAATGGCTCTGAGGTTGCTTCAGCTAATTCCATAAGGATGAATTTCATCAGGCCCTGCTGACTTGAATACATCTAACTTATCTAAATATTTTCAACCCATTCTTTCCCTATTTTGGCTTGCATTCCTTCCCTGGTTGTTAATATTAATTGTGTTTGAATATTTAGTCACCATTAACCTTTTTAGTGAAGACTGAAGCAAAATAGGCGTTCAGCATCTCCGCTTTCTTGGCGTCATTGGTTATTAGTAAGGCTCAGATTTTGTCATGCATATTTTTAGTAAAAGTCACTGACCGGTCACGAGCAATAAAGAAAAATTCATGGAAGCCCATGACCTATCCGTGACTTTTACTAAAAATATACATGACAAAATGGGGAGCTGCAGGCTCCCCACACTGCCCAGGGGTGCCTGGCTTGGAGCTGCAGGGTCCTCACATCACCGGTGGCTCCAAGCTTGAGGCACCCATGCCACCTGTGGTGGCTCTGTGCTCCTGGGCACCCCCGCCAGCCATGGGGCCAGGATCTGCAGAGCGGCTGCGGCGGCTGGGAACTCCCAGGGGCTCCAGTGCCCGCTGTGGCTGGGAGCTTGCGGAGCAGCCCCTCTGCCTGGGAGCTGCAGGGCACCCTTGTCTCCCTCTGTGGCTGGGAACTCAGGCCCCGTAGTTCCAAGCCACGGCGACCCTACAGCGGGGGGCTCAAGTCATGGAGGTCATTGGAAGTCACAGATTCCGTGACCCCTGTGACAAACTCGTAGCCCTAGTTTTTAGCTCTCCTTCCCTGCTAAGTAGACAACCTACATTTTCCTTTGTCTTTCTCTGGCTCCTAGTGTATTTAAATAAGCTCTTCTTATTGCCTTTTATGTCCCTTGCCAGGTATAACTCATTTTGTGCCTTAGCCTTTTTGATTTTGTGTCTACATCCTTGTGGTGTTCTTTTGTACTCCTCCTTATCAATTTGACCATCTTTCCACTTTTTGTAGGATTCCGGGTCATTCAAGAACTCCTGATGGAGCCGTATTGGCTTTTTACTATACTTTCTATCTTTTCTTTGCATCAGAATAGTTTGCAGTTGTTCCTTTAATATTGTCTCCTTGAGGAACTGCCAGCTCTCCTGAACTCCTTTTTCACTTAGATTTTCTTCCCATGGGACCTTACTTACCAGTCCTCTGCACTTATTAAAGTCTGCTTTTTTGAAGTCCATTGTCCTTATTCTGCTGCTGTCACTCCCTTCTTTCCTTGGAATTACAAAATCTGTCATTTCATGATCATTGTCACCCAAATTACCTTTTACCTTCAGATTCACTACCAATCCCTCTGTGTTGGTCAGAATCAAGTCTAAAATGGCCATCTCCCTGGTTATTTCCTCCACTTTCTGATACAGTCCAAGAACTTATTAGAAATTGTGTATGTTACCATTATTACTTTTCCAACAGATATCTCAGTAGTTAAAGTCCCCCATTACTACCGAGTTCAGTGTTTTGGATATTTCTGTTGTCTTAGAAATGCCTCGTTCACCTCCTCTTCCTGATTGGGTGGTTGATAGTAGACCCCCCACCCCCTCACCATGACATTACCCCTATTTTAACCCTTTTATATTTATCCAGACTCTCAACTGGTCTGCCTCCCACCATCTTCTGGACCTCAGAACGAGTATATATCCTTTATGCATAATGCCACCCTCCTCCCTTTTTTCCCTGCCTGTGCTTTCTGAACAAGCTACACCCCTCTATACCAATATTTTCCCCTACTCATTTCCTTCTTCTTGCTCCTTTGACCCTATTATAATTTTCCATGCCCCCCCCCCCACCCCAACATTTAACTCTCTGTTAAGGTCACCTTTTCTGGTGAAAGTAATTTTGATTTAGTAATACCTTTCAGTTATACTAGTAATATATGGAGCACAAGTAAGGACTTATTTGTAAATGATATGTTCATTTTTTATCTTGTCATTGTGCCTTTAAATCATAAGTGTGGGAAAAACCCTAAATGTAAGAGGTTTTCAGAGGATTTTATTTCCTCTCCATCGCAGAAACTAGCTTCCTTTTGTAAGTGGAAGTATGGGTATAAAAATATTTTTATCGAGACAAAGAAAAGGGCATCATATGCTAAAAATCACCACATGCCTGATCTCTCATGCTTAGCACAGTTGACATCAGTAGAAACATTCAGAGGTATCTCAATGGAGATAGATTCAGTGATGCACAAGTTGGGATGACTGTTCAGACAAACAAACAAAAGACTCCCTTTGAAGTTTCAGAGGGGTAGCCATGTTAGTCTGTAACAGCAAAAACGAGGAGTCCTGGTGGCACCTTAGAGAATAACAAATTTATTTGGGCATAAGCTTTCGTGGGCTATAGCCCACTTCATCAGATGCATGAAGTGAAAAATACAGTAGGCAGGTACAAATATACAGCACATGAAAAGATGGGAGTTGCCTTACCAAGTGGGGGGTCAGTGCTAACGAGGCCAATTCAGTCAGGGTGGATGTGGCCCATTCCCAACAGTTGACAAGAAGGTGTGAGTATCAACAGAGTGAAAATTACTTTTTGCAGTGACCCAGCCACTCCCAGTCTTTATTCAGGCCTAATTTGATGGTGTCAAGTTTGCAAATTAATTCCAGTTCTGCAGTTTCTTGTTGAAGTCTGTTTTTGAAGTTTTTTTTTATTAAAGAATGGCCACTTTTAAGTCTGTTATTGAATGTCCAGGGAGATTGAAGTGCTCTCCTACTGGTTTTTGAATGTTACAATTCTTGATGTCTGATTTGTGTCCATTTATTCTTTTGCGTAGAGACTGTCCAGTTTGGCCAATGTACATGGCAGAGGGGCATTGCTGGCACATGATGGCATATATCACATTGGTAGATGTGCAGGTGAACGAGCCCCTGATGGTGTGGCTGATGTGGTTAGGTCCTGTGATGGTGTCCCTTGAATAGATATGCGGACAGAGTTGGCAACGGGGTTTGTTGCAGGGATTGGTTCCTGGGTTAGCATTTTTGTTGTATGTTGTGTAGTTGCTGGTGAGTATTTGCTTCAGGTTGCAGGGCTGTCTGTAAGCGAGGACTGGCCTGTCTCCCAAGGTCTGTGAGAATGAGGGATTGTTCTTCAGGATAGGTTGTAGATCCTTGATGATGTGCTGGAGAGGTTTTAGTTGGGGGCTGTAGGTGATGGCTAGTGGTGTTCTGTTACTTTCTTTGTTGGGCCTGTCCTATAGTAGGTGACTTCTGGGTACCCTTCTGGCTCTATCTATCTGTTTCTTGATTTCCTCAGGTGGGTATTGTAGTTTTAAGAACGCTTGATAGAGATCCTATAGGTGTTTGTCTTTGTCTGAGGGATTGGAGCAATTGCGGTTATATTTTAGGGCTTGGCTATAGACAATGGATTGTGTGATGTAGTCTGGATGAAAGCTGGAGGAATGTAGGTAAGTATAGTGATCAGTAGGTTACTGGTATAGGGTGGTGTTTATGTGACCATCAGTTATTTGCACTGTAGTCTCCAGGAAGTGGATCTCTTGTGTGGACTGGTCCAGGCTGAGGTTGATGGTGAGGTGGAAATTGTTGAAATCCTGGTGGAATTCCTCAAGGGCCTCCTTCCCATGGGTCCAGATTATGATGTCATCAATGTAGCGCAAGCAGAGTAGGAAGAAAGAATCCCATGCACTGCTACAGGCTGGGGACCGACTGACTAAGCAGCAGTTCTGCAGAAAAGGACTTGGGGATTACAGTGGACAAGAAGCTGGATATGAGTCAGCAGTGTGCCCTCATTGCCAAGAAGGCCAACGGCATATTGGGCTGTATTAGTAGGAGTATTGCCAGCAGATCGAGGGAAGTGATTATTTCCCTCTATTAGACACTGGCGAGGCCACACCTGGAGTATTGCATCCAGTTTTGGTCCCCCCACTACAGAAGGAATGTGGACAAATTGGAGAGAGTCCAGCGGAGGGCAACGAAAATGATTAGAGGGCTGGGGCACATGATTTACGAGGAGAGGCTGAGGGAACTGGGGTTATTTAGTCTGCAGAAGAGAAGAGTGAGGGGGGATTTGATAGCAGCCTTCAACCACCTGAAGGGGGGTTCCAAAGAGGATGGAGATAGGCCAGGGGTCGGCAACCTTTCAGAAGTGGTGTGCCAAGTCTTCATTTATTCACTCTAATTTAAGGTTTCACATGCCAGTAATACATTTTAACGTTTTTAGAAGGTCTCTTTCTATAAGTCTATAATATATAACTAAACTATTGTATGTAAAGTAAATAAGGTTTTTAAAATGTTTAAGAAGCTTCATTTAAAATTAAAATGCACAGCCCCGGGTCCTGTGGCCAGGACCCGGACAGTGTGAGTGCCACTGAAAATCAGCTTGCGCGCTGCCTTTGGCATGCGTGCCATAGGTTGCCTACCCCTGAGCTAGGCTGTTCTCAGTGGTGGCAGATGACTGAACAAGAAGCAATGGTCTCAAGTTGCAGTGGGGGAGGTCTAGGTTGGATATTAGGAAACACTATTTCACTAGGAGGGTGGTGAAGCACTGGAATGGGTTACCTAGGGAGGTGGTGGAATCTCCATCCTTAGAGGTTTTTGAGGCCCAGCTTGACAAAGCCCTGGCTGGGATGATTTAGTTGGTGTTGGTCCTGCTTTGAGCAGGGGATTGTACTAGATGACCTCCTGGGGTCTCTTCCAACCCTAATATTCTATGATTCTAGGGGCGCTAGGGGACAAGAGCTGAGACAGACAGACAGCCCCTCTGCCATCATGTGCCAGCAATGCCCCTCTGCCATGTACATTGGCCAAACCGAACAGTCTCTACGCAAAAGAATAAATGGACACAAATCAGGCATCAAGAATTGTAACATTCAAAAACCAGTAGGAGAGCACTTCAATCTCTCTGGACACTCAATAACAGACTTAAAAGTGGCCATTCTTTAATAAAAAAACTTCAAAAACAGACTTCAACGAGAAACTGCAGAACTGGAATTAATTTGCAAACTTGACACCTGCATAAAACTGACGAGAACATTATAGACTATATTAGCCATCTGGAGTTACTACAATCATTGATTAAGCTCTGGCTGTTCACGTGAGAAGTGGTTGTTTAAGATTCCATTTTACCTGGAAGATGCTACGGAGCTCGTTAGGTCAGGCATTTATTTTCATTGGGGAAACAGGCATTGTGGCTTCATAGTTGTTAACATCTTGAATGTATTCTGGAGAAAAATGGGAGCTTAGGTCCCACTTTACTTTTGTACAGGAGATCTGTAGTTGGAGGGATGGCAGCTGGTGCCATTGGTCAGTTTTTTGCCAGTCCAACTGATCTGGTGAAGGTGCAGATGCAAATGGAAGGAAAGAGGAGACTAGAAGGAAAACCATTACGGTGAGTTCTCAAGTAAGCTAATTTTAATTGGCATTTTTGTTGTTGTGAGTGGTCATTCTGTGGATGTTGACAATTGTCATGCAGTGTGGGATCGATTTTTAGGACTTTGTACAGTAACTCCTCACTTAAAGTCGTCCCGGTTAACCTTGTTTCGTTGTTACGTTGCTGATCAATTAGGGAACCTGCTCGTTTAAAATTGTGCAATGCTCCCTTCTAACGTCATTTGGCAGCCGCCTGTTTTGTCCACTGCTTGCAGGAAGAGCAGCCCGTTGCAGCTACCTGGTGGGGGCTTGTAACCAGGGTGGACTGGCAGCCCCCTATCAGCTCCCCGCTCCCCTAAGTTCCTTGTGCTGCAGCTGCCCAGCAGGCTATCAAGGCAGTTCAGCTGTCCCTCCCCCCACTGCCATGTGCTGCTCCTGCCCTCTGCCTTGGAGCTGCTCCCAGAGACTCCTACTTGCTGTGCGGGGGGGAAGGGGGAGGCGGGGCTAATGTCAGGGTGTCCTCCTCCCCCCTGCTCCTGCACCCCGCTTACCCCTTCTCCATATAGAGCAGGGAGGGGACACGGAGGGAGAGAGACAGAGAGAGCTTGGGGCAGCAGCTGCTGTCTCAACTTCCTGATCCACTTTAAAAGACAATGCACTTAAGAGTGGGTCAGCTTACTTAAAGGGGCAATGTGCATCTCTCTCTCTCTCCCACACACAAGGTGTGTGTCTGTCTCTGTCTGCTATGCTGTCTCCCCTCCCTCGTGTTCGTGCTGCCTTGTGTGAGAGGCTACATTAACAAAAAAGTGTTAACCCCTGAGGGCTCAGCCGAGTGCTAGTTCATCATTTAGCAGCAAGGCATTCCCTGGGAAATATCCCTCCCTCTTCCACCCTCTAACTTCACCACCTCAACCAAACTTCACAATCATCATAGCTGTGAACAGTATTAAATTGTTTGTTTAAAACGTATACTGTGTATATCTATATAATATATAGTTTTTTGTCTGGTGAAAAAAATTTCCCTGGAACCTGCCCCCTATTTACATTAATTCTTATGGGGAAATTGGATTTGCTTAAAATCATTTCGCTTAAAGTCGCATTTTTCAGGAACATAACTACAACTGTGTGTGCAAAAATATATGTGTGTATATATATGCACCTAATTTATACACACCATTACTGCACAAAACCCTGTGGTTAGGTAAGGTTTTTTTTGTTTTTACAGAGGAGAATGCTGTTACACAGAGCTTAAGTGATTAAATGGACACAAAGAGCCCAGATCCTCAGCTGCTGTATTTCAACATAGCTCCATCAATGGAACTGTGCTTATTTATACGAGCTAAGAATCTGGCTGGAGACTGAACTCCCATCAAAACAGTTCCTTGAAGTCATGGTTGAGGCACATTGGTGGGGCAGTGTGGGGAAGTTTGCATTATCACTGCCCTTAATGTAAAGGATCTCTTCTGTGGCTAAATAGAGGACTTCAGTCTTCAGGGCTGTCAGGTCGATAACCTTTACTAGCATTAAACATTCCTAAGAATTTTTTTTTTTTTAAATGTGTGCTACAGAAAGCACAAGAAGTCCTCCTGGCATGTGTACAACAGAAGTGTGTCCATCACTGAATTCTCTACTCATTAGCTGAATGAATGAACGTTTGTAAAGACGTGTGAGATGCTAGAGAAATGTCAAATATTATTTATTTCAGATTTCATGGAGTGCACCATGCATTTGTGAAGATCCTGTCTGAAGGGGGAATTCGGGGCCTTTGGGCTGGTTGGGTGCCAAATGTCCAAAGAGCTGCTCTGGTAAACATGGGAGGTAAACATAATAAAGTAGGCCTGAGCTCCTGAAGTGATTCTCTCTTCCTCTGTCCTTCCAAGACCATTGAGATAAGTTGCGTTGTCTTTGCCATCCTTCCTGAGGTTTTATCTGTAGGATGGTGAGGTCTTCTGGGTTCAGGAATGTTGCCTAAGGAACTCCCTCCACAAGCATGTCCCTCAATGTCCCAATGCTCCGTAGAAGGCCTCTTTCTCTGCATCAGTTTACTTTTGACCATTTGTCATTTTTTCATTGGCCTGTTTGAATTTGCTTAGCAAAATGGCTGGTAATTTCTAGGCCACTTGGCCCAAGGCTATTTTAAGTATTTGTTGCTGATGTATGTAAATCCCATTTTTAAGATTGATGGGCCAGTGTCAGAGGTGGCATAAGTTATACATCACTAAGGGTATTGTAAGGGCTAGGAAAAGGATAACAACTAACAAGAAGGTATAAAAGTTAAAGTATCCATTGTGTCACAGGTGAAATTGGTCCTTTAAGAACGTGTGGGCCTTGTCCACCTGTGACCAACTAATTACCTCTTACTAAGTTTAGAAGGGGGATCATGTGATAGTTATTAGGAAGAAGGAGGCTAGCATGATATTGGAAAGACCAGCAGGGTGGGCCTTGTGAGGGGCACCAAGAATCCCTGATTTGGGGAAAGAAAAGTGATTGGGGCTTAGGGAAGAAGCCTGCCTCTGGTGAAAGCCCTGAGAGGAACCACCTTGTGAAGGGAGTCTGGATGTACAGTTATTGAGGATTGGGTTTAAGACAGTTTTAGGGAAGAAGAGCCCAGGAACGGTTGGACTGGAAGAACTCTCTGGGGAAGAAGAGCCTGTTGTTGTTGTGTCTGTACATTGGGTGTTTGAATGTGGGAAATCCTCCTGTGATTGTGGGAGTAAGAAGGTAAAATTATGCCAATAAAGAAGACCAGGTTGGTTGTCAGAACAGCTAAAGAGTGATAGAATTCTTGTATAGAAATCCTCGCCTGTGGTTAAACGTTTTATGCAATTTATGCCTGTGTTGCTGAGGTTGGTCACTGGAGGGTGCTCATGTCTAGGGTTTCCTCTCTCTCTCTCTCTCTCTCTCTCTCTCTCTCACACACACACTTACACTTACACTTTAATTTAGTCTTTCCATCCCTCAGAACAAAAGCTATACATCTCTCTCTCACACACACACACACACACACACACACACACACACACACACACACAC